GACGAGTGGCGCCGGCGATGACAGCACCGGTCGGTCCGCAGACCAATGGCTTGAATCCGTTGGTCGCCTCACGAGTCGATTCAATGCACACGATATTCAGCTGCGAATCAATGGTTAAGTCAAATGTATTTAGAGTTTTTTTTGGTCACCAATTGGATCCATAATACGAACCATCGATAGGAACGACAAATCGATTTGCTTTTTGGCCAACAGTTGACAGAAGTCTTCCATCACTTGATCCCGATGTCGGCCGCAGATGTATGTCATCTCCACTCGTGTGATGGCGTCTTTGGAAGCGTTCACTGAATCGCGAATATGTCTTATGGTTCGGGCGATGCGTTCGCAGACATTGATGGCAGACATCGGCGGATGTGTTGCCGTTTTGGTGCTGAAGAGTGTCAACAGTTTGTCCGCACATTTGTCGCGAAACAGAGCCGACCGCACGTCCATCAGCGGTATGTATGGTATCACCTGTTGCTGCGGCGACTTCTGGCCATCGATCACATCCACCCGCAAGTGAGTCGACGTCTGATTGGCTGCCAATCCGTTGGCGACGAGTGTCAGCACTTCCCGCAGCGTTCGGCCAATCAGTGACACCGACTCCGAAGTGATGGCAATGGTTTCGATGATAACGGATCGACCACTCATTGGCGACATCGTTGGGGGCTATGTCTGTGACGATGGGATGAGTGGGAAGTGTTGTCGTGTTGTGGTGTTGTGGTGATGGGCGAAGAGGTGGTCAACAGAGACAGCGATAACTGCAATGCGTTTCACATTCACTGCTCAACTCACACACTGACTGCGCGTTCGATGCCCTCTCGTACGGCCACTGTTTTCACTGCAATACTTCATGCATTGCACTAAAACTACTTTTACGGACACATGAATCAGGGAATGGGAGGGAAGGCTAGCATTTCAGGCAATTTGTAAGATTACCAGGATTATTATATGAATTGAGATAATTTGTTTGAATAGACTATACAATGACTGTTCAATGAATGAGATCGACTCCAGACATCTGCTCACGAGTTAAGCCATAATCGATGACACGATAGGCTTTGGACACAGAATTGGCGGACATTTCACTGAATTCTCGCCAAATGTTTGCCGTTTTCTCAGCCAATGGTTGACTTCA